TCACTGTTGGACTCCCTGCTCTGTCTCTTCTGTCGGATGAGAGAGCTGGCTATAGTTGCAGTGTCCCTCTCCTCCAGTGTCCTGCAATCCCCCACTGTCAGACACCGCTTCACTGATTCAGGGATTTGAAATCCCCACGGCATCCTTACCTCTCAGCATGTAGCAAGCTTTCTAATTGGTCAGCACCATCACATGGATGGCGCTGCCCAATCCAAATCCATCTAGTGGCTAGCCCATCCTGTCAGCACTGCAGGCAGCCCTCTCAGCACTGGTGTGACACACACACACCAGTGGTTAGGACATGCATCTCCATATGTCCAGTCCGGGTCTGGTGTCACCCCTCTAGTGGGCCCCTGCTCCTCCATAGCGACCCTGCTGCTTATAGTATCCTGACCCCTATGCCTGGGGCTGGGGGGCGGTTGCCGCCCCCCCCCTGAAAAATGCTGCCCAAGGTAAACGCCTTGTTTGCCTGGCGGTAGATAAGCCCCTAGATGTAAGGCCCATTTTGGACCTCAAGGGGCTAAATCTGTTCCTAAATTTCAGATCCTTTCGTATGGAATTGGTTCGGTCAGTAATGGCCTCCCTACAGGAGGGAGATTTTTTTAGTGTCCATAGACATCAGGGTTGCATACCTGCATATACCAATATTCTTTCCTCACCAAAGATTTCTGCGGTTTGCGGTAGGGGCTCAGCATTTCCAGATCCTGGACCAGCTGGGCTGGGTGCTCAACCTCAAGATGTCGGCCCTGGAACCCATGTAGAGCCTGGAGTATTTTGGGATGGTCCTAGATACGGTTCAGGCAAAGGTATTTCTGCTTCCAGGGAAATGTTTCTCCCTGAGGAACAAGGTTTGCAGTTTGAAGGCCAAGAGGTATCCTTCAATTTGCCTCTGTATGAGGTTGCTGGGGAAGATGGTGTCCTTGTTCAAGGCTATTCCCTATTACCAATTCCACTCCAGACCTCTGCAAAGGTACATTCTGTCTGTTTGGAACAAAAAGATTCCGACCCTGGATTACTGCATATACAGAGTCTCCAGAGGTGCAGCAGAGCCTCAATTGGTGGTTGATAACTAACAATTTGGAGAAGGGAAGATCCTTTTGGCCAGTGGTGTGGAAGTTGGTAACCACCGATGCCAGCCTTTCAGGTTGGGGCGCCGTTCTAGAGTAGGCCACAGTTCAGGGAACATGGCTTCCACGGGAAAGGATTCTTCCTATCAATGTCCTGGAACTGAGCGGTGAGGCTGGCTCTGAGGTATTGAACATCCAGGCTTCAGGGTTGGCCTGTAGGGATTCAGTCCGACAATGTCACAGCAGTGGCATACATCAACCACCAGGGCGGTACCAGGAGTCGAGGTGCTCAGAAGGAGGTGAACTATATTCTGACATGGGCAAAGAGATTATGTTCCAAGTCTTGTCAGCAGTGTTCATTCCAGGTGTGTAAAATTGGCAGGCAGATTGTCTCAGTCGCGGACCATTGAATCCAGAGGAATGGGCTTTGCATCCGATGTGTTCAAGGAAGTCTGCCAGCGATGGGGTTGCCCGGATGTAGGTCTGGTACCATCCAGGTTCAACAACAAGGTCGGTCTTTTTGTGTCCAGGGTAAGGGACCCAGTTCTCACTGATTTATGCCTTTCCTCTAATCCACCTGCTGCCGTGTCTCTTACGCAGGATTCGGGAGGAGTCTATTGCAGTGATACTGATTGCTCCAGCCTGGCCCAGGAGAGCCAGGTACACGAATATAGTGAAGATGGCAGTAGACGGGCTGTGGGCCTTGCTGTATCTGCCAGACCTGTTGTCTCAAGGTCCTATATTGCACCCAGCTTTACTGTCGCTAAATTTGACGGCATGGCTATTGATACCCTGATCCTAAAGGATAGGGGAGTGTCAGATTCTTTCATCCCCATCATGTTGGGTGCTAGAAAGGAAGTTTCCAGGAATATTTATTACAGAACCTGGAAGGCTTACATTGCCTGGTATGAGGTTCACAAATGGCACCCACGAAAGTATGTGATTGGCAGGATTCTGTTGTTTCCTCAAACAGGGTTGCAGAAGAATTTAGCTGTTGGTAGGTTTCAGCATTAGCTATTTTTTTTTTTCCAGAGGCCCATTGCGTCTCTTTGGTTCGCACTTTTTTTTACAAGGAGTAATGCGTATGGCTCCTCCTGTCAGGTTGCCTTTGTGTCTTTGGGACCTGAACTTGGTTTTGGAGGTTTTGCAAAAGCCACCATTTGAACCTATTGGAGAGATTCCACTGGTCCTGTTGACTTCTAAGGTGTTATTTCTAGTGGAATCACTTCTGCTAGAAGGGTGTCAGAGCTGGCAGCTCTATTTTGCAGAGAACCATTTCTGGTTTTGCATCATGATAGGGTGGTGTTGCAACCTCATCCGTGCTTTTTACCAAAGGTGGTTTCTGGTTTTCATCTCAATCAGGACATAGTTCTGCCTTCATTCTTTCCTAGGCCTCAGTCAGCAAGAGAAAGATCTCTGCATACCTTGGATGTGGTTCGTGCTGTAAGGATCTTCTTGAAGGCGACAGCACAGGTCACGAGGTCAGATAATCGATTGGTGCTGCCAGAGGGGGGCAAGCGGCATCCAAGGTGACTGTGTTTCTTATTGGATCCACCAATTGATCATTCAAGCCTATGGTTTCAAAGGTAAAGTCCCACCCAGGAGTGTGGGGGCATCTTGGGCAATCCGCTATCAGGCGTCAGTGGCTCAGGTTTGCAAGGCCACTACATGGTCTTCAGTTCACACATTCACAAGGTTCTACCATGTGGATGTCAGAGCCGCAGAGGATTCTGCCTTCGGCTGCAGTGTTTTACGGATGGCTGAGTAGTTCTAAGGGATTGACGGTGGCTATCATGGTGTTACCCTCTCCTCAAATTTCTTATTGCTTTGGGACATCCCACATAGTCATGGATAGCCTGCTCTGTGTCCCATGATGTATGATAAAGAAAATTGGATTTTTTTTTTCTACAGACTTACCTTTTAAAATCCATTTCTTAGTGTACACAACAGGACACAGAGGTCCCACCCCTTTTTCTGGAATGTCATTGCTTGCCTCCTGTATAGGAGGAGTTATATAGGAGAGGACTGCCTCTCTAAATGGTTGGCCAGTGTCCATTCACCTACAGTGCCTTGAAAAAGTATTCATACCCCTTGAAATTTTCCACATTTTGTCATGTTACAACCAAACACGTAAATGTATTTTATTGGGATTTTATATGCTAGACCAATACAAAGTGGCACATAATTGTGAAGTGGAAGGAAAATGATAAATGGTTTCAAAATTTTTTACAAATAAATATCTGAAAAATGTGGCATGCATTTGTATTCATCCCCCTTTACTCTGATACCCCTAACTAAAATCTAGTGTAAGCAATTGCCTTCAGAAGTCACCTAATTAGTAAATAGAGTCCACCTGCGTGTAATGTAATCTGAGTATAAATACAGCTGTTCTCTAAAGCCCTCAGAGGTTTGTTAAAGAACATTAGTGAACAAACCGCATCATGAACTCCAAAGAACACACCAGACAGGTCAGGGATAAAGTTGTAGAGAAATTTAAAGCAGAGTTAGGTTATAAAAAAAAAAAATATCCCAAGCTTTGAACATCTCACAGAGCACTGTTCAATCTCTCATCTAAAAATGGAGAGTATGGCACAACTGCAAACCTACCAAGACACGGCCGTCCACCTAAATGGACAGGCCTGGCAAGGAGAGCATTAATCAGAGAAGCGGCCAAGAGGCCCATTGTAGTTCTGGAGGAGCTGCAGAGATCCACAGCTCAGGTGGGAGAATCTGTCCACAGGACAACTATTAGTCATGCTCTCCACAAATCTGGTCAAAGAGTGGCAAGAAGAAAGCCATTGTTGAAAGAAAGCCATATTAAGTCCCATTTGCAGTTTGTGAGAAGCCATGTGGAGACACAGCAAACATGTGGAAGAAGGTGCTCAGGTCAGATGAAACCAAAATTGAACATTTTGACCTAAAAGCAAAATGCTATGTGTGGCGGAAAACTAACACAGCACATCACCCTGGACACACCATCCCTACCGTGAAACGTGGTGGCAGCATCATATTGTGGGGATGCTTTTCTTCAGCAGAGAGAGGGAAGCTTGTCAGAGTTGATGGGAAAATGGATGGAGCCAAATACAGGGCAATCTTAGAAGAAAACCAGTTAGTCTGCAAAAGACTTGAGACTGGGGCAGAGGTTCACCTTCCAGCAGGACAACGACCCTAAACATACAGCCAGAGCTATAATGGAATGGTTTAGATCAAAGTATATACATGTGTTAGAATGGCCCAGTCAAAGTCCAGACCTAAATCCAATTGAGAATCTGTGGCAAGACTTGAAAAATTGCTGTTCACAGACGCTCTCCATCCAATCTGACAGAGCTTGAGCTATTTTGCAAGGAATAGGCAAAAATTTCACTCTCTAGCTGTGCAAAGCTGGTAGAGACATACCCAAAAAGACTTGCAGCTGTAGTTGCAGTGAATGCTGGTTCTACAAAGTATTGACTTAGGAGGGCTGAATACAAATGCATGCCACACTTTTCAGATATTTATTTGTAAAGAAATTTTGAAAACCATTTATCATTCTCCTTCCACTTCACAATTATGCACCACTTTGTGTTGGTCTATCACATAAAATCCCAATAAAATACATTTACGTTTTTGGCTGTAACATGACAAAATGTGGAAAATGTCAAGGGGTTTGAATAATTTCAAGGCACTGTATAGGTGGCCTATAAGTCACATTAGCCTGCTCTGTGTCTCGTGATGTACTCCAAGAAATGGATTTTACAGGCAAGTATAGAAAAAAAATCAAATTTTGTACACTTTTTACCAGGTCCAAAAGGTCTTACAACAAGCTGAGTTCTAGGTGTTTATATCTTGAAATTGTACCATTTTGGTGCCTAGAGGTATACTCTGAAATAATATACTGAAGTAGCATTCATCTTTATTCTTAAAGTGCTTGGTTTTTATGTCTTTGCTTTGCAGATTGGTCTTGTCCTGCCTTCCAGGATCTCTCAGGAGTGACCCAAAGCTGTACATCTAAAACCTTAGGATGGGTAAATGTCTTTTGTCACTTTTTTGCATTTTTCCCCTTGTTTTCTTCACTTAAAGCAAACTTGTATTTTTTACAGTATGTTTATTTATTGGACAGCTATTGCAAAATGACCAAAGTGCCTCCTTACTCTACCTCATTCTAACTGCAGTTAAATCTTTCATAGAATGATAAAGTACCTATTATTGTATTGGCTACTTTTTGAGGTTAAAGAGACCCTGTCACCATCTTAAATCAAATACAGATAAAAGCACAGAAAAATCATGTTTTTATATAAACACAGGCACAATTTCATCAGAACACCTCCCTCAATAAGGAGACCTCAAAACTTCTTAAAGTGTTAGTAAAGCTAAAAATGAAGAAAAAAAACATTACCAGGCAGGGTTTATATAACAGAAGAGACCCTAGTGGTCTTTTCTGTTACAAATGTCCCCCCTGCCTGGCAGTGGTAATGTGACCTGAGCAGTGCATGCACAGCTCATATCACATTTACGGCCTGCTCTGTGTGCTGCAGCGATGTGACTCCCGTGCCATGCACGGGAGTGAGGTCGCCAACTGCCCGACCATTCAAGGGGCGAAAGGTACAAAACCTAGAAGGAGGATTGGGCTAAAATGGAATTTACCGGGGACCAAAGGAGTCATGACAGCGCAGCACTGGAGGACGCTTGTGGTGCATACTAGTATATTATGTCTTAAACCCACAGGGGGACCATTTTGTAAACTTTTTACAGATGACTTTATTATTGCCTCATGCACACTGGGCACTAAAAACACCACTTTTAGGAACACTTGACTTTTTTTTCTGCCTCTAAATGCCCTTCAATGTTAACCTATGTGTCCATACACACATAGGCGGTTAGAAGAGGAAAAAAAAAATAAAACACTGATATTGCATTCAGGAAAAGCAGCGTTTTGGCAGAAAAACTGCTTGATGCTCCTAAATGTGCATTAACGCTAGGCATGTTTAGGTTTGAGTGTTAATCTTAATGGCCAGAATAAATCATTATTCTGGCTAATGAAATGAATTAACGCCCCAGTGCTTGACGCAGCTAAACCCTTTTACAAGAGCACGGCTTTAGACTTAACCAATTGCCAACCTGTACATATACTGCGATGGGGCGGCACATTCAGGCACAATCATGTACATGTACGTCATTGTGCCTGTGCGGGCTAAGGGGAGCGCAGCATGCCCACCGAGGCACGCAGTTCATGTGATCACAATGTCAACAAAGCTGTTAAGAATGAATTCATTCAAAACAGCTGTGTTACCAATGCTGTGATTGGCCCACACCTATCACATGGTACCTGGCCCAATCACAGAATTCTGTACCATGTGATTAGCTGTAGCCAATCACAGATCACTAGTGATCACACCTGTCATGAATGGTTAACCCATTCATGACAGTTGAAAACCTTGCTGTTTCAATGATTTTCATTGTAACAGCAAACAAAGTATAAAAAAAAATCCCTGATCACCCCCTCAGAGTAGTACAGTGTTACTGAGGTGACTCTGAACTACTCTGATGAAAGTATTTTAAAAAATAGTAAAAAATGAAAAAAAAAAAAAAATAGTTTTTTAAAAAAATTTATTTTTTATTTATTTATTTTTAAATATACTGTCACTAGTCAGTGCGCCTGCTCAACGCCACATGAGTCATATGATGATGCTGTACTGCACTGGTGACAATATGTTAAAAAAAAAATTGTGAAAAACAAAAATGTTATTCAATTTCTTCATTATCAAAAAAATTGTCCATGCCTCTTTCTAAATGCCTCAGACTGTCTGCATTCCAATAAGGGGTTGCTTGGGGGGAATTTGTACTGTACTGGTGTTTTAAGGGCCATTACATCAGAACTGACCACTTTTCAAATATATATACACCATAGTTTGTGGACGCTATAACTACAACCACTTTAATCTAAACATATGCTGTAGTCACAGTTTCAAATACAGTTTTCAAAGAAATATTCTGAGGTCCTAAACGTATCCCCAAAATAAAATTATTTCTGTAACATTTCAGAAATTTCCCTTTTAGCATGCGGTAGAAAAACTAGTGCCAATCCCTCTGTAAGTTGTTCCCTCAGCTCCACCTCTGAAAAATAAATATTACCCACAAGCCTTGCAAAAGATATCCTGATTATTGAAGAAGTATTGTACTGTAAAATATTCAGTAATTTCAAGGTTATAGCATCCACCGGTCCCTGAGCCAAGGGTTCAGTGGCTAAATCTAAATAGGGGTGAAAGGGGACAATACAGCCTCACTCCTTCATAGATTCTTATCGGCTCCGAGGCTCTATTTTTATTATCAGTGTTGGTATAATCTCCTTATACAATTCACATAGCTGCCCATGAATCCAAAGTTCCCAATTGTATTGCCATATTTTTCCAATGAATATTGTCAAAATCCTTCCCGGCTTCTACTGGGAAGAACAAAGCTGACATATCTTCAGTAATATCCCCCCTTTGTTCATTTGGTTCTAAAAAGATTGGTAAGCAGTAAATAACTTACACTGTATATACTGACTGGCCAGACATAAAGCCTGGCTGGATTTTATGGACTAGACTTCCAATTACTACCTACAACCTTCTTGCCATAATCGACAGTACAATGTTCAAATCTGTGTTCAAGAGTGAGATAGGTTTATAAGAAGTCACTGCCTCAAGTTCCTTTCCATGTTTTAATAGCAAAATATTAATTGCTGACAGTAAATTCCTTTGGAAATTGATTCCCATTGCCATAGTATGTGATTAGGCACTGGGTAACAAAACAAAACAAACAAAAAAACTGCAAGTCAAGCCAGATAATATCTTCTGCTACTAAGCATGCCTTAGATTTTGCTTGTGTCCTAGGAGAATGGACATCTCTCCAGCCCTGGTGTGTTAAAAGACCCTTTTTTTTTCTAGCACTTATTATTCTTCATTTATTTTTTTCAGCCAATTCTCTTCTCTACATAGCTGCTAGAGCTTGTCTGTTTGATTGCAACTATCCGTTAGGGTTGTCCTCAGACATTGCTGGACTGGACATGGTAGGGAGATCCTGGAAATGACCTTTGGGCACTTGGTGGATGCTTTCTAGACACACTTTTAGTACAATTTAGCTACAGAACATGTTCCTGGTCCAGAGCCATTGCCATTGCTTCAGGGATTGCCTTGTCTGAAGAAGAACCTGTCTCTGAGTATGCCAGTGGGGCCATGCACCGGGAGCTACCACATGTATGTAGGTCACTGAGCACCATTATTCCCAGTTTCCTGTCTGTTATTGGCAGTAAAGGGGCTAACATGGTATAACCAAGCCCTGAAATTATCCGCTTATCGGAGTGTGATTTGTGCGTTCTGCGCTCCCTTTTCTACCATACCATACCATCTCCTTGTTGTCCCTCCCTCCAGTTTCAAAGAGCCACTTGGAACTACAGCTGATAAACAAATTATTTTGCAATTCTGAACTTTGTGTAGAAGCTGCCATCTTTTCATCTTTATTTTTGTTATTATTATGTTGGCTGTTTATACGGAGGCTGTATATTCCTATTCTAATCTACATGGTGCTCAGCATTGTACCCATCTATGTTGAAAGCCAGCACAGTTTTTTTTGTTTTTTTTTTAAATGGATGCTTTTACATACTGTACAATGTAATGGACACACATGTAAGTACTGGCCATTGTCATCACATTGTCATCACACGTTTAGGCTCATTTAATCGAACGTTGCAAAGAGCATCACAGAATAATCCCAACCGTGTCTAGTTGGCAATAGGCCAGAACAAAATTGGTTTTCCTTTACAGATGAAATTCGACCCTCTGAAAAAATAAAATCAGAAAAAATAACTGGATATACAAACCGCTCAGACATGACAACCTGCATTAGAACTATCAATAGCATAACTTCTCTATTTCCCTGTCCAGAACACAAGCTTGAAATTCAACTTTATATTTATTTCCTTTTCTATTAAATCTTGGCAACATTTCAGTATTAAGTCTTTATTGTTCTGATCCTTTTTTCCCAGGACAATGTGGCCTATTTCTGCTATCCATTCAGCTTTGAGATTTTCCTCTCTGAGGAGTTGGAGGCTGAAGGTGAGTAGAAGGAAAAGTACAGAAATCTAGTTGTAGGGAAAGAAAAAAAAAAAAAAAAAAAATGCAAATTTTTCATTTCAGAGGTGCCACAGTGGCCAGTTATTTACTTTGAAGTCCTCTCTCTGGACTTTTGGCAAAGGTATAGAGTTGAAGGCTATGGATCTGCTGTCCTGCCACATACTCCAGGCAAGTAATCAATTGCAGTGTGTTTTTTTTACCCACCAAATGTATGTTATCAACTGAGCAACAGACAATAGACCGACAAAACCAATATGTTTCATAACATATAAAAAATGTATTACAAAATCAAAAGGCACATAGCTGAAATTTAAAAATTAGTCTGGTCCTAGTCTATAATCAGTAAAAAGTTATTGAACTGAAAAATGTTTCGGGTTCATAAATGGTAAACCGCTAACCCTGAAGTGCTTTAAAATAAGGATTTGCTGAAACAGCTCCTTTAAATGTAGTATAATAGAAATATACTTGTACTGAAACAAAATAATGAGGCTGTTCTTCCACAGCTTATGGCCTCGTGAATTGTAGACACGTAGAATAAAACAGACTTCTGTTTTATCTTATCCCAAGGAATGCATGAGATTGCTGCACAAACTTGGCGACCTGTAGAGCTTGGAATAGTGTCAGAGCTCAGAAGGTTTTTTATTGGGGGATCCCCAGAACTGGAAGATATAACCTATGTTAGAACACCCGGAACTTTCCAGGTAAAGCATATTTTAGGACATATACTGTATTTGATTGACTTTGACTGTCATAAAGTATATCTGTTATCCATGGAGATGTTAGTTTCTGGAGCCAACATTGAAGTTTTGTGTTTTAGGGGTGGTGTGTTTCGCTATTGTTCTTGAGTGTTGGAATGCTTGAATTAAATATCACCTCATGTGTGCAGCAGCCCCTCTATCTAACTACTGGGGTATAAAAGGGTATATAGCAGTGTGCAGAGGGTCCTTCAGAATTTCTAGTGTTAATATGTGGTTACACCCCTTTAGCACCTGATGGATAAATGCATGCACTAGCTGTTGGGATTTGAGCACAGGTATCTCTTGTTTGTATGCAGTAAAGGTATTCACAAAAATACATGCTGTAGGATCCTTGGTTTTTTTCAGTTAGAAGGTCTTGGAAATCTGATTAGTGATGATGACAGCCTGCTTTGGGAAGACAGAGCTTGATCTCAGAGAAAACACTTCCAGTGATGCACCTCTTCACTCCCCTTCACACAATTCCACTCCAAGGAATTTTTCCTTCCCAGTCAGTTAGTGCAGAGATATCTGCATGTCAATATAGTTGCTGTCAGGGCCGCCAGTGGCTTCCCTCATTCCTCCTTTCCTTGCTGTCTTGTGCAGATGCAAGGAGGCTGGGCAGCTGGGAGATATGTGTACAGCAGGGAGTGAAGGTAATAATGATCTGAGCTGCTGGAAATATGTGTGCATTGAGGTGATATGCTGCTGGGGATCTGTATGTACAGGGGTGATATGCTGTCAATTTTGTTCAGAGCTGCTGATCTTCATTCTGTCATCCAGAGTTGTTTGCTGGTGTTGCAGGCTCTGTCACAGAATCAACTATCACGTTCCTAAAACAGTGACAGTTTGTTTGCAAGTGTAGATGAGAAGTGTAGTACAGATGTGGGGACACAATGAAGTTGAAATCACCGTAAACCACGCCTGCTTGCTGGGTTTGCATGGGCTAATTTAAGAGGATTTATTACACGAAAGAAAGTATACTTAAAGGATAAGTTCACCTTTCGTAACTTGTTACACCCATATTCAAGGTGTAACATGTTGCAAAAGCACCGGCCTTGCTCCCCCCCCAATCCCCTGTTGTGACAGTAACATCATCGTGGCAATACCAGCCATCCAGACATGTCAGATGGACAGCTCTGTAATAAAAGTGTACATCGGGCAACCCCCGTCCCCCGCATAGATCTTTGGTAGGGGGTCAAGAGATGCAGGGCAAGGTGAGGTTTCCTATGTGACCATATAAAGACTCAAAACATTGTGCTGATCTTCTTAAAGAAATCCATTGGTAGCTGGATGGGTAGGGCCTGCAGCAGGTTAATATACAGGGGGGAGAATGGTCATTTTCAGAGCATTACATTGACCAAACCACGTCAATGTGAGGGAGTGCCAATGGAGAAGGTCTTATTTAATTTTGAGTAACGGAAGCAAAATTTGCATTGAATAGATGCGAGAGGTCAGGTGTAATATTGGTACCTAGGTACCATATCGAATCGGAGGCCCATTGGAAAGAAAAGAAAGGGCAGAGATGTCTGATCACGCTGGGATCAGCGAAATATTTTTAACGCTGAAGATTTTGCTAGATTGATTTTACAGTACGAAAGATTACCATAGTCCTTTAGTGCCCAAAGAAGGTTAGGCAAGGAATTAAAGGGGTCTCTGAGAAAGAAGATCAGGTCGTCTGCAAAGGCAGCTACCTCATGTACCCCCGAGGGCTTGCTGTACCCGGTGATGTTGCGGTCAGTGTGGATCTTGCAGAGCAAAGGTTTCAGCATCAAGATGAAGATCAACAGAGAGAGCAGGCACCCCTGGCATGTCCCATTAGATATGGGAAAGAACTCCAATATGGTCTTGTTGACCTTGATAGCGGAAGGTCGAGAGTAAAGTGAGGTAATCCAGCATAACATTGATGTTCCAAGTCCTATGTGGGCTATGGTCCCACAAGTTTTGACAAAAAAAACTGGAAGCTGAATGGTTTCTATGCACAGCTGCACCAGATTTTGCACTGTCCCATTTTAGTAAATCAACCTGTTCATGTCAGCTTAGAGTAGAGATCACCCACAACTTTTTGATCGAATCCAGGATGCTTAGCTAGCATTTACCTCTACAATCCTAAATGTGTTTATTTATGCCCCTCTTCTCTTTTTTTTTTTTCTTTTACTTTGTGATTACAAACCTGTAACTACAGTATACAATGTATTGTACCAGTGTTTCTAATGTTTAACAAGGAGAGACTACAACAGTAGTTTTTTTCATTACAATAGTTTATTGCACTGTATGCAACAAAAAACTAATGTAAACATATTTAAAAAAAAGGAGATAATTTCATAACAGAGAGAGATGTCAATGTATTTTCTAATACCATTTCCCTGTAGGGAGAGCGGCTGAGTCGCTTTGGATTCAGAACAGAGACAACTGGCAAGGTGACATTTCGCTTTCACTCTATACACCAGTCAAGGTAAGAGTAAGAAATTTATACAGGAGGTGGCTGTGTTTCAAAAGATACATACGAACTAGAGTCTGCTTGTGCTTTGCAGATCTCAGTAGTGTAATGACATAATTGCAGCTGTGGTTTGGTAGCATCATCTCACAACATGCACTGTGGGGTCATCACGAGTATCTTCAAAGCCAACTTTGGCTAGCTCCTGTAGTTTGAGGTCTTTGAAATCGCTTAAAAGCATAGAAACAAGTACAATAATACCTCGGTTTACAAATTTAATTCGTTCTGCAGGACTTTTCATATAGCGAAAAATTCATAAACCGAAACGCTGTTTCCCATAGGAATGCATTGAAAACCATTTAATCTGTTCCGAAGGTCAGAAAAAAAGTAGACGCTACTAAAATACCGCATTGGTTATTTTATCAAGTCATGCGGTATTTTAGTTCTGACAACCATGTGTTAATGTTTCAGCTGTCAGCGGGGTTCCCCACTGACAGCTGAATGTAAAAGAATTGCCGGCAATTAAAAAAATAATTTAAAAAACGACACGGTCTCCCCCCTCTCATCCATACCAAGCCCTTCGGGTCTGGTATGGATTTTGAGGGGAACTCCTATGCCATAATTTTAAAAAAATGGAGCCCCCCCCCCCCCCCCCCCCCCCCCCCCCGAAATCCATACCAGAGCCTTATCCGTGCATGCAGCCTGGCAGGTCAGGAAAGAAGGGGGGGGGACGAGTGAGCACCCCCCCTCCCCCTCCTGAAGCATACCAGGCCACATGCCCTCAACATGAAGGGGTACTTTGGAGCAGAGGGGCCTCCCCCGCCCCCAAAGCACCTTGACCCCATGTTGATGGGAACAAGGGCCTCCTCGTCACAAATCTGGCCAGTGGTTGTGGGGGTCTGCGAGCAGGAGGCTTATCGGCATCTGGAAGCCACCTTTAACAAGGGGGCCCCCAGATCCCACCCCCTTCTATGGCCAGGGGGTTGTGGGGAAGAGGCTGTTGTCCCCATCAACACGGGGACAAGGTGCTTTGGGGGGGGGGGGGGGAACGCCCCTGCCCAAAAGCACCCCCTTGTGTTGAGAGCATGTGGCCTGGTATGGTTCAGGAGGGGGGGGGGTTCTCGGTCGTTTAGCCCCCCCCCCCCATTCCTGACCTGCCGGGCTGCTTGCTCAGATAAGGGTCTGGTATGGATTTTGGGGAGGACCCCCACACCATTTTTTTTTTAAATTTTGGCGTTGGAGTTCCCCTCAAAATCCATACCAGACCCGAAGGGGGACCCCACGCCGTTTTTTAATTTATTATGGTGCTGGTTTTTAAATGTAATTACCACTTATTTTTTCTTCAGTATAGCACAGAAATTCAGCTGTCTCTTTCCCCCCAGCTAAAAGAAACAGTGTTTCCTTTTAGTTTCTTAAAAGAAAAAGTTTCCATTAACTCTAGGGAAAGTGACAGCTAATTCTGTGAGCTATAGTAAAGAAGAAAAAAAAGCTGGCAATTGCATTTAAAAATCGGCACCATCATACACTTTGTATTGCGAAAACAATTTGTAAACAGGCATTATTTTCAATGGATTTTGATTCGTAAACCGAAAATTACATTAACCGAGGCGTTTGTAAACCGAGGTATTACTGTATATTGACTCACACGTCCCTCTCAGTGATGGCAGGAAAGAATCCTAGCTCATCCAGCTTCAGGAGCCCAAGGGTGGCTGCACATTTTTGACAAATAGTTCCAGTAATGGAGAGTGGCTACAAATGTTTTTAAACTACCCCAAAAATGCAGCACTAGTGACAAATTACTTTAATCTTTCACTGCTGGAGCACACGCAAGTAAAACATGCATTTTAGGCCGGATCTTACTTAAAACCCCAAAACATATATTTTCTAAAAGCAGAGAACCTGTAGTATAAAAAGGGTTTCAAGTTTTGGTGCCCACAAACACAAAACAATTCCCTTTTCGATAATTAAGGGATGCAGAATTCAGTTATTTGGAGACAATTGGGTAATAGTGCCCCCTTCAGGAGGAATGCCTCTGGTGATAGCTCTCAACCGAACTGAACTGAAGTCCTCAAATGTATGGTGTTGTAAATAGAGGCTAAGGTGGTGCCATATTCGTGTATAAAGGATAAGAGAGTCAGTTCCAATCTAAATGCTATATTACAAACTGGAGAGTTGTGCGTATGCACTGGCTTTTCAGCATAGGGTGCTGCTTCCTGCCACTTCTCCTTTTTGCAAGAGATATGCAGTTCCACCTTGGTAAGTTCTGCAGTGACCTGGTCACCTATGCCCATTTGAACCTCTCCTGCTCTGGTTTGTAAGTACCCATGTTTTTGTTGCCTGGTGTTGTCAATCAGATTGCCTCTGTTACGTAATGCAAGATGTTGCATCCGAAGCACAAGTCTTTCTAGCGCACGATCCACTAACAGTTCTAGGGTGGCCTCCTTGAGCAGTTGTCCTCTGTTTGGGTCAATACGCTCTTTTGAGTTTTCTTTAGGTATGGCTCCCTCCTCTGCCTAATTTAAAGTGGAGTTCTGTGCAGCTATGCTTGCTTTTTTATTTGGACCAAATTGCAACTATGATAGTTGTTATTATTATTATACAGGATTTATATAGCACCAGCAGATGACTCGGAGCACAGAGGCTGTAAGCATATTTCACACCTTCTTCTCCAGAAACTTTGTTAGACATACCTGCAGCTGTAGTGGTCTCTGTGCCTTCTGTTGCTGAAGCTTTCTCAGACAAAGAGTCTTACAAATCTGATGGATGAATTTGCTCCTGAGGAGTAGTAAGCACCTGCCATAGCTCCCAGGCTTAAAGGATAAGTCCACCTTTTGCTAAAAAAATAATAAATGCAGATTTTTTTTTACAGGTAAAAATTGTGCATTTATTATTTTTGTTGCAGGAGCCCGTAAACCATTGCACCAGCAATCTGCAGATCACTGGTGCCATACAGGTCTCCTGCAGGCCTGTCAGCATATCTGCTTGTCTGTACTGTATGTACGGGTAAGTAGATATACTGACAGGATAAAAATCAATTAACTACCAAGTTCGTTGTGAACTAAAAGCCGACAGCCGCTAAGGCTGTCGGAACTTGTGGTCCCTCATTCACAGAGGACTGTAAATAAGTGATGTTTTAAAAAAAATTTTGACAGCTAGTGGGAGGAGAAGATCCCCGCTAGCTGTCAAAGCAAGGGAGCAGAGACCTGTCTATTCATAACATGTTACACCTTGAAGTTATCCTTTAAAGTGGTTGTTAACCCCCGAAATGAAATATGAACAAAGCATATCCCTCATCAATGTGTACTTGTCTCTTTTCAGAGCACCAAGTGTCATTTCTTTGTGCTGCTGTGTTTCCTCTGCTATCACCATGAATCACTTCTGAGAAAGTTTTCCCGATACCAAGGGAAAAATGGTGACAGGGAAGGGGACCTCCAGCAGATTGACATCCTCAGCTATGTTCCTGTGAGCTGTGTAGAAGGGGTGTGTCCCTTCCCTCCAATAATCTGTCAGAACTCTCCTCACTGAGCTCTGCAGAGTGTAACTTCAGCTCCCAGCCCCCTTTTCTTCTGACAGCTCAGACAAGCTTTAAAAATTCAGCACTTTGAACGAATGTAGAGAAGAGAGGACTGCAGATACATGTACAACTTATGTAGGAGGATTTGTTTCATCTCTGTGTATCACCTGAGGCCAGTTACCTCACTGGTTATATGTAGGGGTTTACAACCACTTTAATGATACCAAATTGGTTCTTATTGATTCAAACTGTCACCCTGAAACTAGAATAGTGCTGTTACTAGTCTGGTATCCCTGAAAGACCCCAAGAACAGCAAATATTTTCCAGTATGCTGCTTACTTGAACCTGTTCCTTATGGTGACAGGCAAACTCCTGATTATAATTATTCATCCTCTCAAATGCTTTACAGACCAATATCCAGATTGTTTCTGTTGAGGATGCACCCATAAAGATCCCATTGACAAAACATTTTTAAATCCTTTCCAAAGCGTTTCACTATAATCCAAATGGGTCTCCTGTCTGTGAATACATATGTGCAGAACTCCTTGGCTGAAATGTTAGTCTGTGGAAAAGCAATGTGAAAAATGCTTGCTGTGCATGCCTCTTGATAGTGAAATCTTGTTGATGCCTCTTTGGACGCCCTCATAACGGATGTCACAGGGAGTAAAAGTACTAATTTGCCCCAGCAAGAGAAACCTAAGCCACAAACTGGAAAGACTGCTTCCCCCTCTGAGACCAAAAAGAGTACCTTTCGTTATTCCCACGCTTGAACCTTCAAGGCCAGACCCAAGTCAGTCAGTCACAAACCCGGGCCCTTAAATCACCCCCAAACCTTTAGAAAACTTCCCTTTAGCATGAAGGGATGCCCTGACCTTCCAAAGTTGGAGGACGTCTGTTGGCTTTAGTTGATACTTGGTCAGAAAGTATTAAAGGACATCTCAAATAGCGTGTAATGACTTTTCATTAGTGTAATTCAACCTCAGTGTTTGCCTGTATTTAGGTGCAGTCAGTTTGTCTGTGTTCAGAGAAAAATGAATTCTGTATGTCCAGGATCTGATTGGAAACTTAAATGCAGGTAAATGTAGCTAAGCATGGCTTAACTCGATTTTAAGCAGAAACATCTAAACCAGGGGTGTGCAACCTGTGACCCAAGGGCTACATGCAGCCCAAGATGGTTATGAATGCGGACCAACACAAAATCGTAAACTTATATATATAAATGAGATGGTTATAGTTAGTATGTACTATATGGATATGTTTTCTTTTCTTCTGTAAGTGGTTCTTTATATCTCTTCTTCTACATGTGTGGGAGATATTATGTGAAATTGTTTGTAAGATGTATTTATATGTAATATCAATAAAATTAAATATTAATCTAAAAAAAAAAAATGAGCTGGCAGTGCACCAAAACGTCCCAAAAATTAGACGCATCACAATGCAAAGGTGTAAATGGGCCCCAAGACTCTTTGGTGTAATGCATCTGGAATGTATCCAGCTAATTTAAAAGACAAGTATGCCCCCCCCCCCCTAAATTATACCTACCTAGGTGGATGCAGCATCCAGGGCTGTGGTTAAGGGGGTACCACCAGTCCTCCTGTATGGGGCCCAGGCCAACAGAGGAGGGGCTCAAGCAGCCGGGTGAATCGGATGTGGGCAGGGAGGGTGATCAGCACGGCGGAGGGGGGGGGGGGCAATTACTGGAACCAATCCCCTGTATGGCTCTCTCTGCAGCAACTGAAAGTTGGCTTCTTCTCCTTTCCTTCCTACTGGTTTTCAGCTGCTGCAGAGAGAGCCATACGGGGGATCGGTTCCAGTAATCCCCCCACTGCACCCATCACCCTCCCTGTGCATCATACGTTTCTCCCTGTTGCCCAGGCCCCCCTTGTGTGCCCCCACCCCCTCAGTGCTGTCGGCTTCCCTCCGCTCCTTCCCACCGGCAGCTGCAAGCACACAATAGGATCCTTCAGGATGAAGAGTGGGGGAAAGGTCCTGTAAATGTCACATTTACCAGCCCCTTCCTTTCATGAATGAACACAATGAGTGATCTGTACTGATTTCTCACTGTGTTCATTCATAACTGAAGCCTAGTAAACTATGTTTTTACTTGGGGGGTGGGGGGTGGGGGCTGTCAGATTGGCTGTATGGGGTCCCATGGTCTCTAACAGCAGCCCTGGCAGCATCGGTCTCTGATGCTGCATTCGTCCCCCACCGGCTGTAAGTGTGAGAACCGGCGATCATATGACCGCTGATTGCTGAGTTCTCACCGCTGCTGTGAGCAGAGAGCTTTGGCTGTACTTCTCCTTTAAGCTGGAAATTCTGTGTTTCTTTATTTTTTTTATATCAAAGTACAGCTGCTAAAATCATGTACACCTGTGTCTATAAAAGGACCCAAACTGTGTTGCCGAAATGATTATATCTTATATTTATGAAACTTTGTTATGCAGCTCGATGCACTGCTAGAAGAAAAAAATTTCCACAACCCCCAACATCTAATAGGACATTGTCAATTCTGCTCTGTTTCTTCATGTTATGACCTTTATCCTGAAATATTTAATTAAAAATGTATTGAAAGTGAAAAAAAACAATTGCTGTTTTGCCAGATTCTTTGAAATCACTGCACTAGAAATCATCAAAGTCTTTAAAACAATAGCCTTAAATATATTGCACTGACATTTAAACAGTTGCTGTGCTGCCAATCTCCAGAAACATGTAGCTGGTCTTACATGAATGTTATTAAAAACTGTTTTTACATAAATCCGAAAATAGTCTCTGTTTAACAATGCACGGTGTTGTGCATCCCTACTTTCTTTTAAGGCCTTTTTTGTGTTGTGTCTTTTTTCCATTTATGTATGTATTGCTCCTTAGGGCCTTCCTTGACAGCAGTTCTCTGAGGAAAAGAATGCAAAGTGTGTTGGATCGCCTGGGAGGCAGCAGTCAGCAAAGCTCTATTCTCAATGTCCTTGGTATGTATTTCAGTTCCTGCACTTTTATATGTTGAACTAGCCCACCTAGTGGTCATTTTTGGTATTTCAGATTTTACTTTTAAGTTCTCATGCACACTGGACGTTTTTACAGCTGCTGTTTTTGGCTTTTGACATTTTTTTCTACAGCCAGTAAACTCCCCAGCATGTTATCCTGTGTCCATGCCAGGGGTGGACTGACAACTCATGGGGCCCCCGGGCAATAGGGGATCATGGGGCCCCTGTGTCCTCTCCCAAACCCAAAAAAGCCTATGAAAAAGCCAATGAAAGGTACCAGGGGCATCTCATGGGGCCCCCTACTGAGCCTGGGCCCTCAGGCAGTGCCAGAGTGCTCAAATGGTCAGTCCGCCCCTGGTCCATGCACACAGACTGTAATCAAGGTGTTTTGGCAGGGAATTTTTTGGCTGGCAAAAAACTCCAGGACTAGTGGGTTTCTAGAGCAGTTTTTTAGCTGTAAAAATGCAAACCAGTGTTTTTGAATTTTTTTTTTACCCCCCCAAATTTTTTTTTTTGGTTTAAAAAAATGCTAAAAAACATAAAACGTGGGAAAACGCTGCTAAAAGCTAATGCAAAATTGCTGAAAACCACTGAAAAACTCACATTTTTAATGTGACTTTACACAGCTAACATTAATAGTGTTATCAAAATGCCCGGTGTGCATGGAACCTAAAATAGAAGTCTAGTCATATACTAACTGTACTGAAACCTGCTCCCACCGCCATTCTAAGCCCTATACCAGGGGTTTCCAAACTTTCTAAGCAAAGGGCCAGTTTACTGTCCTTCAGACTTTAGGGGAGGCAGACTGGCCAGTGGGAGTAAACAAAATGTCCCATTGTCAGTGGGAATAAACAATGCCCCACCATTGGTTTTAGTGGGAGGAATAGCGCCCTATTGTTGGTATCAGTAGGAATAATAGTACCCCATTGTTGATATCCGTGGGAGGAATAACACCCCATCATTGGTGTCTGTGGGAGGAATAGCACCCCATCATTGGTGTTTGTGAGAGGAATGGTGCCCCACCAATGGTGTCACTAGGAGGAATGGTGCCCCATCATTGGTGTCAGTTGTGAATGGAATAGTGCCCCAAGGGCCAGAGAGGCAAGCAAAGGGCCACATTTGGCCCCAGGGCCACTGCCCTATACAAACTGCCCTGTAAAGGAAAGATGTTTTATACTTACCTATTCTGAGGACTCTCTGGTCTGGTCACATGATCTCCCCAGTGGCCGGCTTCAGTGAAGAGGAGAGATTGCCAACAAAGGTTGCAAGGACTATGCAGTGATGTCACCCATATGGTTACCTTGGGGCATCTGTTGTCGGCTCTACACTGAAGCTGGTGCTGGGAGCCAATAACATGACCAGACCAAAGAGCCCTCAGAATAGGTAAGTATAAACATCTTTCCTTTACTGCAGTGGTCTCCAAACATTTCAGACAGAAAGGCCAGTTTACTGTCCTTCAGACTTTTAAGGGGGCCAGATTGTGACCAGTGAGGGTAGAAAATGTTCCATGCAGGCCCAGCATCAGTGAGAATAACCATGGTCTCAAGGTTGGTGGTCCGTAGGACATGGAGGAGTGCCCCATTGCTGGTATTATTAGGAGGAATATTACCCCATCATTGGTATCGGTGGAAAAAATAGCTCCCCATTGTTGGTGTCAGTGGGGAGAATAGTGCCTCATATCATTGGGAGGATTAGTACCCCAAGAGCCAAATAAAGGCTAGCAAAGGGCCACATCCGGCCCTCGGGCCACTCTTTGGAGACACCTGCTCTACAGGGTAGTTAGAATGGGGGTGGGAACAACTCTAAGTATAGTTAGGGTTTGACTGGACTTCCACTTTAATGTTGCAATGTTAATTGTTAAGCTAAGAGTATGCATGTGTGCTTGAAAGTAAGACATATACAATACCCCCTTCTGTGCTTGCTATGGGTAATATAAGAACACATCAGCTGGCTGGGTTGAGAAATGATCTATTTTGCAGCATTAGCGCTCAGGAATGCAGTCGTTCTTATCTGAATTTGACAAACTCATACCTCCCGACTTTGGAACTTGAGAATGAGTGACGCTTTGGGATGGAGAAGACATGTACCGCTCTGTGACTAAAAGGGGCATAGCTAAATTGAGCTGAATATTGGGTGTAGCTTAAAGGAGGAAGATTAAATATAGTCTGAGCCTACACCGATACAATCCTTGTATTCACAAAAACTCCATAATTACTGTTGTATGAGTGAGAGTCTCACATAAAACCAAAAGGATTAATAAAGAAACACAGAGAACTAAACACTTCGAATCCCAGGGCAGCGCTACAGAATGCAGGCCAGTTGGGGGGTATGCTGTTGCTCAGACACACTGTAGATTTAAAACTTTAGTCCAGATTCCAAATTTAAGCTACAGAGCATATAACTGTACAGAACATGCCACTAATACTCATTCTCTGCGTTGTGTTCCCAGGAATTATGGATCTCTTTTATAATAACAAATAGTGTATCTGTCTCACCAGAGTAGACTATATAGATTGGTGGAGTAATCCTTGAAACACTCATATATAGTTGCAAGAAAAAGTATGTGAACCCCTTGGGATTACGTGGAGTTTTGCATGAATTGGGCATAAAATGTGCTCTGAACGTCATCTAAGTCACAACAATAGAAGACACAGTCTGCTGACATCCAGGTTCTGCTGAAACATAATACTACACAAACATTAGATGTTGCCATGGTTTAATTGCACATAACATGTAAACATTCACAGTGCAGGGAGGAAAAAGTATGTGAGGCCCTAGCTTAATGACTTCTCCCAGAGCTAATTGGAGCCAGGAGTGAGCCAACCTTGACTCCAATCAGTGTGATGATATTGGATGTGTTGCTGACAGCTGTTCTGCCCTTAAAAAACACACACCTGTTTTGGGTTTACTGGTTCAAGAAGCACTGTCTGATGTGAACCATGCCTCGCAGAAAAGAGCTCTCAGAAGGCCTACGATCAAGAAATGTTGACTTGCATGAAGCTGGAAAGGGTTACAAAAGTATCTCCAAAAGCCTTGATGTTCATGTGTCCACGGTAAGACAGACTGTCTACAAATGGAGAAAGTTTAGCACTGTGCTACTCTCCCTAGGCGCGGTTGTCCTGTAAAAATGACTGCAAGAGCACAGCGCAGAATGCTGCATGTAAAGAAGAATCCCAGAGTGTCAGCTAAAGACCTACAGAAATCTTTGGCACATGCTAACATTTTTGTTGACACATCTACAATAAGGAAAACATTAAACAAGAATGGAGTACATGGGAGGACACCACGGAGGAAGCCATTGCTGTCCAAAAAGAATATTGCAGCACTTTTGAAGTTTGCAAAAGAGCACCTGGATGTTCCACAGCACTACTGGCAAAAATATACTGTGGACAGATGAAACCAAGATTGAGTTGTTTGGGAAGAACACACATAACTATGTGTGGAGAAAAAAAGGCACAGCACACCAACATCAAAACCTCATCTCCACTGTAAAACATGGCGGAGGGAGCATCATGGTTTGGGGCTGCTTTGCTGCCTCAGGGCCTGGACGGATTGTTGTCATTGATGGGAAAATGAATTCCAGAGTTTATCAAGACATTTTGCAGGAAAACGTACGACCATCTGTCCACCAACTGAAGCTCCGCAGAGAGGTGGGTGATGCAACAGGACAATGACCAAAGCATACAAGTAATTCAACAAAACAATGGCTGCAACAGCACAGAATACGCCTTCTGGAGTGGCCCAGTCAGAGTCCTGACCTCAACCCGATTGAAATGCTGTGGCATGACCTTAAGAGAGCGATTCACACCAGAACATCCCAAGAATATTGCTACACTGAAAAAACTGAACAGTTTTGTGAAGAGGAGTGGTCCAAAATTACTCCAGATCGTTGTGCAGGTCTGATCTGCAACTACTGGAAATGTTTTGGTTGAGGTTATTGCTGCCAAAGGAGATTCAACCAGTTATTAAGTCCAAAGGTTCACATACTTTTTCCTCCCTGCACTGTGAATGTTTACATGTTATGTGCAATTAAACCATGGCAACATCAAATGTTTGTGTAGTATTATGTTCAGCAGACTGTGTTCTTCTATTGTTGTGACTTAGATGACGTTCAGAGCACATTTTATGCCCAATTCATGCAAAACTCCACGTAATCCCAAGGGTTCACATACTTTTTCTTGCAACTGTATGAACTCTATATATACTGTATATTAAAGCTGATCTCTGGAAAAACTAACAATCTTCCCCTGCAGTAGGCCTGCATCTGCATTGCAAGAGTTAACGTGTTTATGTCTAGGAAGACCAGGTACAGCGGTTTTACTTACCTGATCCTCCGCTTCTGAAGCCTGTTTTTCCCTGCACTCTGGTGGTTGGATGCCACTGGTGTCATCAAGACCAATGTAGGGCCTATAGTCCTACATTGGACATGAGGATGCCAAGGGACATATCCATTGCCACCAGAGCATAGGTGAGTGGTGTCTGCTAGGGGAGCAGAGGATCATGTAAATCTGCTTTTTCTGCCCCCTAGGTAGAAATGAGCATTTAACGCTTGCAGTGTGGACACAGCTCCAATGCAAGGGAGGATGTGCATTAAAATAAAGTGGTTGTAAAGGTCGAGAATTTTTTTATCTTTGTGCATTACCTGCATTAAATTAAAAATGTTTTAGTATTTGTATCACCACCTTTATACTTACCTGAGCCCTCTCTCGATCCATTGCTGTGCTCAACTGTCTCTCCTCACAGGACACAGAAGGACAGGCAGTGGGAGTCATTGGCTCCTGCTGCTGTCAATCAAATCATGTGAAGAGAGAGCAGGGGGATAGGACTGAACCATGCTGTGTGTGTTTATAGATGCACACAGCCTGGCTCAGGAGCAAACCCACACATGCACCCCCATAGCAAACAGCTTGCTATGGTGGCGCACACAGAGAAGGAGGAGCCGAGAGCACCGGTGGGGGGAACCCAGAAGCAAGTAAGTACAAATC